CCCTTTTAATTTCTAGATTTTAACATTGAATTTATTATATTTTCAAAACTATGGGGCTAGTTATCGAAAGTATTAGGCATAAATGAACAAAGATTATATTTTGACATTTTGTGAACCACTTAATACTATTTGTGGATTCACCTTGAACGTAGAGGAAATGATAACAAACTGTTTGAAGGGCTGTTGTTGTCAAAAAACCCACACAAGACAACAAATTGTCTGCTGTAGATGGAATCTTCAGCACGAAATTATGTTGTTGTCCAAAATACCATCATTGATTTTATGTTATTTCACCGAAATAGAGTTAAATTAGACTTGCACCCTTTTCCTTTTTTGGGAGTACAATAGTGTTAGAGAGAAGCTCTGATGGTAGAAATTTGAAAATAAGAATCACTGTTATGTTATGAAACAATATTGCACAAAAAAGTAGGGAGAGAGAATTTTTATTGATTTGGGATGAATTACAATGAAATATAACCTTCTAATTATAGAGAGAAAGTGACTTAGCCACCAAGTAATAAATCCTAGAATCTCTCTAAATATAGACATTCACCATAAATAAAATTCTATTTATAACACTCCTCCTTGAATGTCTATTTAACAGATAATGTGTCTCGTTAAAACTTTAACTAAAACAAAATCTAGTGGGAAAAAAATTCTTAGAAAAGGAAAAAGAGTATACATATCTAACAATACACTTTTTGATTGCCTCGTTAAAAACCTTGCAAGGAAAACCCAGTGGGACAAAACCTTGTGAGGGAAAAAGAGTGCAACGCGCATTAACTCCCCCTGATGAGAGCATCAATTCACATCCTTGAGTCTTCGCATCCCAATCTTATACACTAGCTTCTTGAAGGTTGACGTCGGTAGAGACTTGGTGAACATATCAGCCATATTATCACTTGAACGAATTTGTTGCACATTAATATCACCTTTCTTTTGAATATCATGTGTGAAAAATAACTTTGGTGAAATGTGCTTTGTCCTATCTCCTTTTATGAATCCTCTCTTCAATTGGGTTATACATGCTGCATTGTCTTCATACAAAATTGTGGGTAGTTTGTCACACTTCAAACCACATTTGTTTCGAATAAAATGTATTATAGACCTCAACCACACACATTCTAGACTTGCTTCATGAATAGCAATTATCTCAACATGATTAGATGAAGTAACCACAATTGATTGCTTAGTCGATCGCCAAAATATCACAATGCCTCCA